AAGCCCGGTCTATTATACAAAATATACTAGGTCAGATCTGGCCTGATGTAGGCCGAGCCGTAGGCCCCTGTAGGCCGGCCCTGCCCAGTTTCACCCCTACGTATCGTGTATCGTTTGGCCGATTTTTCATATCTGAATCATATTGAATCGTAAGATACAGAAATATAATAAAAAATAATTTAAAAATATATAACTTTTTTTTGACTTTTATCGAACCGTATTGAAAGTTACATCCTTCTGATTTATGACTTTTTCCTTTAAAACCATTTAAATTATGTCTGCCTAAGAGAAAGAAAAAATAAATACATTTAAAAGAAAATAAAAAAGGAACTAATGGGTATAAGAAAAGAAAACTAAATCTGAAATCCAATCGTGAACTCTAAAATTTGAAAACGTCTATAATACAAAACAATGGTGGAGTCTTTATAGTTTGATTTGTTGGAAGCTTATAACCTATGAATGGTTTTCAAAAACAAAATCCTTCTTCCTTAGATATTTAGAATATTTATTTAATTATTTCTTTTTTTAATACAGATTTTTTAAATTAGTTTTTGAGTTTAAATCAAAAATCAAATCTTTATTTTGTTTTCCTTATTAATAATAATTTTTTAATTTTATTTTAATTTAAATCACAAACCAAATCTTTATTCATTTTTTATATTAAAAATTAAAAAATTTGATTTTTTTAATTTAAATCACAAATCTAATCTTTATTTATTGTTTTATATTAAATCACAAACTCAAAACTTGGAGGCTTCTGGGTTTAAACGCTCTTATAATATCATTATTGCAAATTTAAATTTTGTTTGTGAGAGATAGAATATGTCAAATGAGGTGTCATTACAAAGATCTCAAAAAGTTTTGTTGAATAAAAAAAAGTACCTGATTTGTATACCTGAGTCAAAAGTTATGGCTTTTCAAAGTTTTACGGTTTGTAAGTTGACTTTTTTGTGCCACGTGTCAACATCAGACGAGTCACGCCTAAATTAGACGTGAATGCCTTGGGAGTCACGCCTAACTTTGGCGCGCCTAATTTTGGGCGTGAATGAGTGCAATAGATTCGTAAATAGTTTCGAAACAGCTATATATTCATAATTATCTATTAAAATAGTAATTTTTAATTTTTTTGCTACTCAAATCCTGGAAAATGTAAATAAATCTTTAAAAAAAACTCAATTTTTCAAGCACAAAAAAACAAATATAATTTTAAGGAGTCGATTATAAAGCAAATGTGAATAATCTAGATTTTCACATTTGCTTTATATCCGGGAATTTGGTAGAGGAAAAAAAAAATTATCCAGGAATCTCAATTTTCAGAAATACGATTTTTACATTCAGTTTACGATAATATACGAAAATTAAAATTTAGAAAAATTCAATTTTCCAGAAATCTTGAAAAATTTCTTGTACCAAACGCCCCAAAGAAAACCCAATGACTCAAGCACCAACAAATACGAATATTTTTTTTTCACTTAAAATTAAGAAACTTTTGTCTGTATTTTTTTTTTTTTTAGAAATTGATTACAAAGGTCTTAAACTAATAAAGCATTGATATACGAAAACCTGAATAATACACTTGGATTGTATTATACAGAATCATCTTTTAGTTTAGATCCTCTGCTCCCCGAGTGTTATCAAATTCGTTTGTAGATACCACGTTATTTTCTATTAATTGTAGTGGTATATATTTTTCGAGACATTACTTATTTTTCAACGAATTTAAAGTTTAAAATAGTATTGACTGAGAGAAATGTTTAAAAATTTATTTTTAACTTTTTGAGAAGGCTTTAATGTTTTTAAAATGAACGTAGATAAATTATTTACATCCGTTCTCAAAACGACGTTATTTTGAGTTGAAAAATTAAAAAATTATAATGAGAAAAATTATGATTACTCTGAAATAAATTATAATTACAAAAATATATTGATTCGTTTTGGGCTCAATGTAGATAATTTATTTATATTTACCACAGAAAAAACGAACCATTTTCAAAAAATATAAATTTTAAAAAGGATAAATCTAAACATAAAAGAAAAAGAATAAATTGACAATTTACTGTGCCAAAATGTCCTTGACTCACTAACTAAAATAACCGAATGATATTCAGAGATGAGGGGAATAAATTTTCTCATATTTGATTTAACATGATTTTTTTTTTGGTGTGGGATTTAACATGATTTTATTATATAAAAGGGAAAAATATTTCTCCAGTCGATTGGAGATAAAATTAACTCCAGTGAATCCAAAACAATAAATTAGAATTATAAAAATTATAATGATAAAAATTATAATGATAAAAATTAATATAATCCTACAATAAACTAGAATTATAAAAACACCTTGATTTTCGTCACAAAATGACGTCGTTTTGGACTCATCAGAAATAATTTATCCATTGACCAAGAAATCCTTTACCCTATATAAAAATTGTGTATCTAGTAATCTCTTAAAAGAATTTAACAAATTTTGATAAGATTTACTTATTAAACGTTTATGAAGAGAGAAATAAATACAATTAAATATGAGATGATCTACTTCTTAATTATAATTTTCATTTTTCAATAACTATTACAATAGTTTCAATATATTTTGAAAACTAATTTGACTATTAACTCTAAATAAAAAGCTATACAAATTAATATATTAAAATAATAACTATATACTCTTTTAATATTTTTATATTTTTGTCCTGTCTTAATTATTTGAGCAAACTTTTTAGTTACCTCAAGCCTTATACATTTATAAAAACACACAAAGAATCAAAACTGCAAAATACACTATCCCTAGAGAGAGGAAATAAAAAGTGCACCGTACGTAATCAACTATAACAATATAACATATCTCCCCTTTTATTTAAGGGTTCGCTTTTTTACTGCAGATAATTTATCTGCAGTAAACTCAATACGATGTTATTTTAGGGCAGAAATTATGGTATTTTTTAAATTTTAATTTATTTCAGGATTATTATAGTCTTTATAATTATAATTTTCTAATCTTTCAATTCCAAAACGACGTCGTTTTGGAAGTAAATACAGATAACTTATTTGCGTTAACTGCAGAAATATTTTTCGATTTATTTAAATATAATCAGTCAAATACTTTTTAAATTTTAAAAATATCTCTATGTAAATATTCAATATTATTTTTCCTTTATCAGAATCTCTCTCCTATCTCTTAGATATTCTCCTCTCGTTAGGATTTGTTAATCCTTGTTAGGCAAAAAAAAATTAATTATTTCATTTTAATTAAATAATGACATATTTATTGCAGTTTCGGGAATAATTACGAATTTATTGCACACTGTGACGCCCAAAATGTGACGCCCCAGTGAGGCGTCTTTCATCTGGTGTTGACACGTGTCATACTTTTTTCCAAAAAAAAAATAATTTAATCAAAAAACTTCTGAAAGCCATAACTTTTGACTCGGGTATCCAAATCAGATAATTCTTTTTTTGATTCCACATAACTTTTTGAGATCTACCCAAAGACATCTCATTTGATTTATTTTATTTCTCACAAACACAATTTAAAATTGCCTCCCATATATAGTGTTTGTAGCCTTTTCATGGTAGTCTTTTCATTTGCAAGGATTAGTGAATAAAAAATTGTGATTCGAATTGCATAAATGACAAATAGGAATTTAAGAAAAAAGGGAATAAAACCGAAATCCCAATTCTACGAAATAGTGTAGACTGAGAAAAAGGTTCCTTTTTTAAACCCAAAGAGAGGGGATGGTAAATTCGTAATAGAATTTTTACCGAACTAATCTAGTGTGTCAATGATTGACTCTTCTTATAAATAAAATGAATAGCTGTAAAAAAAATGAATAAGGCAAATATACAAATTACAAATAATAACGTCATGATTCAAATCTAAACTTAAATGCAAATAGTAACATCATCCTATAATTCAAATGCCGATATGATCCTAGTCAGATTCTAGTCATCCTATAATTCAAATGTAGATATGATTCTAGTTAGATCTTAGTCATTCTATAATTCAAATTGTGATTCGAATTGCATAAATGACAGTGTGCAATAAATTCGTAATTATTCCCGAAATTGCAATAAATGCGTAATTGTTTAACTAAAATGCATTAAATTAATTGTTTTGCGCTCCTTGTTAGGATACTATTTTATCTTATTAGTTTCTCTCCCTTAAATCAGGTATTAGGATTATCTTATCATCAACGTCCTTAACTTTGAATTGAAGTTTGTCATTGAATCTCATGTAAAAGTATAGGGGGGAGAAGATGGAAAAGATCCAAATTAAAAATGCAAATATTATTTTTCTACAAATTTGTGATACTATTAGAGATAAGTGATTCAATCAAGAGCAAACAAGATGAGACCCGTATCCGAATTTTACGCTTTGTAGATGCAATGCAACGATATTTTTTGTTAAAGATAATTAGAGTTTTTAAATAATAAAATATATTTTAATAAAGGAGAATAAGGAAACAAATAGGAGGAGAGAATATTGTTTTCAAAATCAAATCTTCCTTTATTTTGTATTTTCTAAAATAAATATTATCAAATAATTCTTTAAGATTCTATTTTTTTTTATGAATATTTTAGATTTTTCTTAAAAAATATATATTAATAAAGGGGAATAAGGAAACAAATATGAGGAGAGAATATTGTTTTCAAAATCAAATCTTCCTTTATTTTGTATTTTCTAAAAGAAATATTATCAAATATTATCAAAATCACATTCACATTCACGTGTAAAACCTTGTCTTTGCCTTCCTCTCACTCTTATATAAGTTTAGTTTCGTTTCGTTTCCCGGCAACTTTGCAAAACAGAACCACTCACACTCACGCATAATTACTTTGTAAAACCAAACCTTGTCTTTCCCTTGCTCTCCCAAATTTTCCCGAGAAAAATTTCCAGCTTTCCTTTGCGCTCTCAACACCACACTGGACGCAGTGTGGTTTTTCTATTCTTCCCTTCTTGTTTTCACTGTCTGTTTTTCTTGCTCTCTTTTTTCTTCCCGTAAATGGTATTGAGGGGTCTGGTTGAAGAGGTTCCGGCGCCGAAGTCCATGGCGACGAGTCACATGAGAAACCCTCTTCACAATTTCACGTTCCCTTCCCTTTTCCTGAATTGGGGAACCCAGAGGAGGAGCATCAATTGCACTAGCGCTGCTGACGGCGCGGGAGTTTCCGGGTCAAAGACTGAGGAATCAATGGCGGCACAGAAGGAGGAGTCGGAGCCTGAGAAGAACATCAATTGCACTAGCGCTGCTGACGGCGCGGGAGTTTCCGGGTCAAAGACTGAGGAATCAATGGCGGCACAGAAGAAGGAGTCGAAGCCTGAGAAGAAGCTTGCGGTGTATGTGAGGCGTTCGAAACGGCGACGCTCCGGCGAGGATGAGGATGGCGTTGCAGCAGTGAGGCAGAAGCTCACGCTTGATCTCAAGAATCAGGCAGATAGGTTGAAAGAAGCGATTTTGGCTAACGAAGAAGAAGAACCTGTCAAGCCGTGGAATTTGAGAAAAAAGCAAGCAGAGTGTAATTCTGATAAGGTGAAATTTCACGTGGAGTTATCCAAGAAGGAGGTTGAGGATGATTTCATGGAGATGTTGGGTTGTCGCCCACCTCGCAGGCCCAACAAGAGGCCCAAAGTTGTGCAGAACAAATTAGATGTTGGTTGCTTATGCCCTTTTCATTATGTTTAATATTTTTGTGTTTGTTTTAGTCTTTTAGTGCTTTAGTTTTTTTTAGCACAGTAGTTTTTTTTTGTTTTTGTTAACACTCTGATTTTGATTTTTGATTTTTGATTTTTGTGCAGGACATTTTCCCCGGGTTGTGGTTGACAGAGATTACTGCTGATCGTTACAAGGTTGTTGAGAAGGTGCCTCCTTCCAAAAAAGGGAAGGGCAGTCCCTCTAAGAAAAGGAAGGGCAAGGGCAAGGGCTGTCCCTCTAAGAAAAGGAAGGGCAAGGATAAGTGATTCACATATTCTTTTTTTTTTGTAAATTGATTCACATATTCTTTGTCTCATAGCATGGAATAGAAACCCGGTTTATGTAGTTGCTTGTTCTCCTTTGTAGCGAGAGCTTTTGGTTGCTGAACTTTTAATATAACAGAATTTAATTTTTTTGTATTACTCACATGAACTGAACTTCAATTCAGTGTAAGATAATGTTTTTCACGAAGCCCATTCATGTCATTTCACTTTATTTTTGTTTGTTGAAAATCTTCTAAGACATGTATATTCATCAGATTATAACCTAACTAAGCATGATTTGGATTTAAATAGTGTGAAATGATATTGGTTACAAGGAAAAAATGAGTCAAATGAAAACCAATGCTAAAATATATTTCATTGAGGTCTGTCTCCAAAGGAAAATATTTTATCATTTTATTTCATTCATGAGTTTTTCCTTTCAACCAATAAAGATTAACAGGGTTAAAAGAACAAATTTTTTTTTGAAGGAATAGAAAAAAATTAAAAAGGAAGAATATTGATAAATTTTCCATTGTCAATCATGCCATAACTGAGTCAGCTATCTCCTGCACAGTTCCATCATTATCCATAACTTTGTCCTGTCTCACAACTGGGGAAATCAGCATCCATACTGTTGAAAGCAAATAAAATATGAGTTGGAGAAATGGGTGAATTATCAAACTACTAGTTAGTACTAGTAACATGTTTTGATGTTTATATGTACATCTCAATTATAACAGTTGTTTTATTAATAAAAACAAGATCAGGGTCAAAGCCATTGAAATCTAGGAAAAAAATGTTTTTATGTATGCAATAATCATTCACTTACTGTAAATTGTTGCTGCAAACCACTCATTGATAACTTTAACCCATGTACTTGCCCAGCCAACATCAATGCTCCACCTAGTGGTTTAAAAATGTGCATGATTTATACAAGAGAAGAGCATATAAGACATAAAAAATCATCATACTTAAAGCACTGAATCATCATGTCATTAATTAGGTTCCTTACTTTCTGGCTGAGTTATTCAGATCCCAACTGATGAATAACATTGCAAAGTACATTGCCCCTAAGGAGAATATCATATGAAAAAATCCATAATTGTAAGGAATATCATCTTCCTGTTCAACTTTGTTTCTGGAAAACTGGAAAAGACAAAAAAATTATTTCAATGAGTGGGGAATTGATAAACATCATTCTGTCACAATAAGGAAGTGGCTTAGATTAAATGATTCCAGTTTGGATATTGAAAAGTTGATGAAAGGAATATGATCTAATCCTTTTGGTTTTCTTATTGAATGAATTTCCCTAGATTTCTTAGTAACTTATAGAAATTTTTTCTTCAACTTTGCATTATGTTTGAGGTCTAATGTTGTCTTGTTATTAGATCAAAGAAAGGATCTTTATAACTCCCTAATGTCCAAAAGAACAGGATTTTGAAGCAATGAGAAAGTTTTCTGAATTTAATTGAGAAGACTCAGAAGAGTGATTCACCTGAAAGCATGTTGAATCAATGCCTGTGGAAAAGGCAGCCATCACAATAGCAAATATGGCAATAAGAAAGCCCTGTTAGGAGAACAGTATATAGCACAAAATCATAGGGTGACTAAAGCACTCATGCATGCAAAGAAACATCCATAGTTTGAGAATATGTATATTGTAATTCTATTTCATAAAATAACAAATAAAAAAATTCCAAAGACAGTGAAGAGTCAAAAAAATGCCTGCATAGTCCTAAATGAAAATCTAACAAGAGCATTGATTAGACTTGCAAGAAAACATATTGAACATTAAGTACCAACTACTGTAAAATGATCAGTTAAAATGTCTAAATCTAATTCTATTTCATTGTTTATCCTTGTAGGTAGTTCTATCCTTTAGAACACTGCATTTAAACATAGATTCAGCAAACAATTGAAGTATAGAAAGTCAAAGACAGAAATAAATTCTTAGACGCTCTTTGTTTTGCTGATTCTTACAAAGATGTAACCAATTATGTTGGGTTGGTATTGTGATGCTAAAAATGGAAAGACAGACATGGCTTGGTACCATATCTGTAGGTGCCTAAAGATCCTATCAAAGTGACTTTCCTCTATTCTTAATTATCAGGTATCCAAACAGAAATTTAACTTACTAGAGTTGCAGTTGCAGACACAAGTAGTAGAAACATGCATCCCAAATTACTTCACTTGAAAGGAAAAAAGACACATTCATGTTCTTGTTTCATTATATTAAATTCACATCATAAATTGAAGACAGAGACACCTGCTTAAACATTGTGGCCATTCTGCCAACACTTAAATAGAAAATCTACTACTTTTAACCTCGATAATTGCATATATTATAGAAGACCGTAGATTTTTGAACTCTAGGGAAGTTTAAAGGAAGTAAACAAAGGTTTTTCAAATTAAACATTAAGATATATTGAAAAACTTACAAGTATAGTTATCCAACCACCATTTTCTTTCTCTTGGTTCTTTGTCTCACATCTTATGGTGGTAGGTTCACTGAAATTCCATCATGGAGATCCATAAATATACCATCTCTAGAAAAAATTCAAAATTTTCACATAAAATCTATGATTTGAAGTTGACACTGGATCACAGTTAGCACATATAAAATCAAATATATTATAATGGAAATTGTAAATATAAATGTACCCTCCTCAGCAAAAACAAAGTAATAATTATGGCATGAGCCATAGCTAAGTGAATTGCATTGTATGTAAGAAAGGAATCTAATCTTCATGCAAAAATTTTATGATTACTCATGTAGACAACATTTAAAAGTCAATCTGCTATAATTTCCAATTATTAAGCATCAAATTCAATACATGCTAATCATTCATCATGCATTAACCCAAATTGATACATCACATTTTCTTGCATAAATGACAAAAAGGAATTTAAGAAAAAAGGGAATAAAACCGAAACACCAATTCTACGAAATAGTGTAGACTGAGAAAAAGGTTCCTTTTTTAAACCCAGAGAGAGGGGATGGTAAATTCGTAATAGAATTTTTACCGAACTAATCTAGTGTGTCAATGATTGACTCTTCTTATAAATAAAATGAATAGCTATAAGAAAATGAATAAGGCAAATATACAAATTACAAATAATAACGTCATGATTCAAATCTAAACTTAAATGCAAATAGTAACATCATCCTATAATTCAAATGCCGATATGATCCTAACTTTGAATTGAAGTTTGTCATTGAATCTCATGTAAAAGTATAGGGGGAGAAGATGGAAAAGATCCAAATTAAAAATGCAAATATTATTTTTCTACAAATTTGTGATACTATTAGAGATAAGTGATTCAATCAAGAGCAAACAAGATGAGACCCGTATCCGAATTTTACGCTTTGTAGATGCAATGCAACGATATTTTTTGTTAAAGATAATTAGAGTTTTTAAATAATAAAATATATTTTAATAAAGGAGAATAAGGAAACAAATAGGAGGAGAGAATATTGTTTTCAAAATCAAATCTTCCTTTATTTTGTATTTTCTAAAATAAATATTATCAAATTCTTTAAGATTCTATTTTTTTTTATGAATATTTTAGATTTTATCAAAATATATATTTTTCACATTGTTTTCAAAATCAAATCTTCCTTTATTTTGTATTTTCTAAAAGAAATATTATCAAAATCACATTCACATTCACGTGTAAAACCTTGTCTTTGCCTTCCTCTCACTCTTATATAAGTTTAGTTTCGTTTCGTTTCCCGGCAACTTTGCAAAACAGAACCACTCACACTCACGCATAATTACTTTGTAAAACCAAACCTTGTCTTTCCCTTGCTCTCCCAAATTTTCCCGAGAAAAATTTCCAGCTTTCCTTTGCGCTCTCAACACCACACTGGACGCAGTGTGGTTTTTCTATTCTTCCCTTCTTGTTTTCACTGTCTGTTTTTCTTGCTCTCTTTTTCTTCCCGTAAATGGTATTGAGGGGTCTGGTTGAAGAGGTTCCGGCGCCGAAGTCCATGGCGACGAGTCACATGAGAAACCCTCTTCACAATTTCACGTTCCCTTCCCTTTTTCCTGAATTGGGGAACCCAGAGGAGGAGCATCAATTGCACTAGCGCTGCTGACGGCGCGGGAGTTTCCGGGTCAAAGACTGAGGAATCAATGGCGGCACAGAAGGAGGAGTCGGAGCCTGAGAAGAACATCAATTGCACTAGCGCGGGAGTTTCCGGGTCAAAGACTGAGGAATCAATGGCGGCACAGAAGAAGGAGTCGGAGCCTGAGAAGAAGCTTGCGGTGTATGTGAGGCGTTCGAAACGGCGACGCTCCGGCGAGGATGAGGATGGCGTTGCAGCAGTGAGGCAGAAGCTCACGCTTGATCTCAATAATCAGGCAGATAGGT